GCGTAGGCCCGGCTTGCCCCGCCTCCCCCTGCAGGTGTCTCCCGGCGGCGGGGCCGGAGGCTACTGCTGCGACTAGGGATGTAAAATCCCATGGGTTAAACACTATCCAGTGCCCCTGCCCAAGCTTGCTGAGGAGGGGGCTGCCCCACCTCCTGGCCACGGCCCCACCGGGCGGCCGGAGGCTACTGCTGCGACTAGGGATGTAAAATCCCATGGGTTAAACACTATCCAGTGCCCCTGCCCAAGCTTGCTGAGGAGGGGGCTGCCCCACCTCCTGGCCACGGCCCCACCGGGCTTGAGCAATTCCCTGCTTGCTCCTGCCCCTGCCTGTTATCCATAGCCGGTAAGTATCCCCCAGTGAGGGCGATGCTTACTGGTTAACTGGTTATATCCCCAGCTGTGAGCCCTGCTCTCTGCAGGGTTTGGGGGCTTCTTTCCCCATTCCCACTTGTGCTTTTCTGAGGACTCAGGCCACCCCCTTCTCAACAGCTTCCCAGAGCTGAGGGCAGAGCAGCTGGTGGATTTGGGGAGCTTGATCGTTAGGGGAAGGACTGTGTCAGTGGAAAAACTGGTGTCTGGGCACGCGAGACTCCATGCTCATGTTGGAGAGGGCTAGACTTGTCCCGTGTAGAAATCTGTTGACCTCAGCTGGGCTTCTTGGGGTATAAATGTGGCTTATAGGCTGCTTTCTCACAGCTGCTGTGGTGGGCTCTGCATGCCACTGGAACATGGCACTCGCTACCTGCCTTACTCCAGCAGCAGAGGCATGGGCTGCAAAGTTGCCAGTCGGCAAAGCGCTGGTTTGGGAGAGGAAGTGCCCTGTGTGTATGTTCTGTGGCAGCTAACGCTACTGAAGAGTTGGTGATGGCAGAAAACTGGCACACTCCGGCTCAGCTAGTGGAACTGCCTGCTAGAGGTGTATGTTCTAGGGATGTTAAATTGCAGTTAATCAACTACAGTAGTTGATGGAATTTCCATGAACTACTCGATTAGTTGATGAAGGGGGAAACTGCAGAGCTGCAGTGGGACCCCTCTACAGCTCTGCCTTTTAGATGTATATTAAGTGCCGGATGCATTTAAAAGGCAGAGCTGCAGCAAGGGGAACCAGGCGAGAGCCGGGACAGCTGATTCCTGGTCCCCATGCTACGCCTCTGCCTCCCCTGCCCCCCAGGCAGCAAGGGTGGTGGAAGCGACTAGTTGAGTCTCTGCATGCTTATCAGGTAGTCGACTAGTTGCTTACATCCCTAGTACGTTCTGCTGTGGCTGGGCTCCTCCCCTGCTCACCTTCTAGGATTCCGACAGCTCGTCGGATGCGGGTCAGATGTAACTTGATTTCGCTGCCACCCAGAGGCGTGCATAGCAGCACGGTCTAGGGCAGCTGTTCCTTGATCTGAGGGCTGGCTGGGCTTGCCTCCTCTGGCTGATGGGTTCAGTGGTGCTTTAGAGACCACTGCGCTGTGGTGCCTGCCCTTTACCTTGTCTCTGAATGCCTGGAGGTCGGTGAGGCCTAGGAGACCCTACTGTTTGTATTGGAGTCCCAGTGTGCTAGATGCTGCCCACACACAGTAAGTACTACAGTCCCTTCCCCAGAAAGCTTATGGTCTATGCAGATAAATCGAAGGATTGCAAGGGAAACTGAGGCACCGAGCTTTACTGTGACTTGCTGCAGGTCAGGGGCAGAGTCAGCATTCCACTGTGAGTGTTCCACTTGTTCTCACTAGTGTGCTAGAAGCGGCTTTCCAAGCGGTCTAATCGCCATGTTTGTGACTTCAGACCATCTTGCTTGTCCTCAGATGCTCACTTCTCTCTGCCTCTCCTCTCTCTCTGGAAAGTCAGCACTGTCGTCATTAAAAGCTCAACATCGTCCACCGTAAGCTCTGTTAACCCTCTGCCCCAAACAGCCAGGCTGTTATTCAGCAGAGTTCCTAGAGTGAAACCTGAGCTTGTGGTTTGTGGCTCCCACCTGACTTGTGGTTTCTGGTTTGTGAGCAACACAAACCTCTGCAGCCTAGAGTCACAGAGCACCGAGTTCCCTGCTGCTGTCAGGGCCACCACGGCGCAGGCTCAGCAGGAGCTCTCGCAGCTTGGGATGGCAGTCGATTGTTAAAGAAACTGTAACCGGGCACTGGAGTTGGGGCAGGGCTTCTCATTTGCCTCTGGGGTAGAAGGAGCCCTGGAATCTCAGGGTCACTGGCTTCTTTCCATCATTCAACTTGACTCCCAGAATTCCTGGCTTCACATTCTAGCCTGCTCAAGTAGCCGGGACCAAGTCTCGGGTCACAGCCATGTTGTCAGGGTTGAGGCTTGGCTGCTTACAGCCTTGTCCAGGTGTTCTGGAGAGGAGAACAGAGTTCCACTAAAATGAGTTGCTTTAAAGTTTGGTATCCGTCTGTTTCCTTATAATGCGCACGTGTGGCCCCCTTCTGTGACGTAGTGGGGGTACTTGCTGGGCTGTGGTGACCCCTGCTGTCTGGAGCAAGACCCAGCAGGGAAAACCTCACTATGCAAAGGTGATGCCAAACTGGTTGAACCAGATACCCCCCATGGAGAGGAACAAAGGAAGGTGAAGGCTGCCCTGGCTGGGGGGGCAGGGCTGGAGGAGAGTGAGTTTAGTTGGTGTCTGGGAGCATGGAGGAGACAGCCTAGGGAAAGGGACTGGAGTTTAGGGGTCCAGTCTCCCCCATCTCAAGGGGGCCTGAGGCATCCTAGCCCAGCTCTGGGACCAGATTCCATCTGTGCTGTGCTGTATCCTGGAGAGGCAATAAACTTCCTCTATTCCACCGGCTGGTGCAGTCTGTTTGTGCCATTTCGGGGTGCAGGAGACGGGGGACCCCCAACGCACCGTCACACCTTCATCCGGACATGGGCAATAGTGCTACTGCCGCGTGGGCTGAGACCTACCACCCGCTTCCACTCGTCGCCCCAGCTGTCCAGTTTGTATCCTGTAGCCTTTTCCAGAGTGCCCGGGAACGTAGCGACTCTTCTCTCGGACTGCGGTACCCACGGCCCTCCTCTCTTTCCAGGAGAGAG